TAATACTATGCTAATGCATGTGTGAGTGTATATCAAAGAATCTGGAGTGTGTTTACCACAGTGTTAATGCACAAATCCACACTGTGTGTATGTGTATCTATATATATTCACGGCGAATATATATGCGCACACACACATAGTCTATATATATATATTTATACATATTTCTCACACATGTACACATATGAGATATATCTCTTTTTATTCACATATTTTTAGAGACACATGTATGTGTCTCTCTCTATATTTATATATATACATATATATGTGTGTATATATATATATATATATATATATATTTTTATATATATATATATATATATATATATATATATATATATATATATATATATATTTATCTATATATATATATATATATATATATATATATATATATATATATATATATATATATATATATATATATATATATATATATATATATATATCATCATCATTGTCATCATCTAAATAATAGAGGTTTGACTTTTTTAAAAGATAGTAATAAGATAGTATTAACTATTAAGGTAGGGGGAGGACGAGAGAGTATGTATCACCTAAAACGTTTACTAATTACTAATTTGGAGATAGATATATATTCATTAAATTAATTATTAAATGATTTAAGAGATTAGATCATCATCTTCTTGGACACTAATAATAATAATTAATGTACATATGGTATGGGGGAGCTTGCTAGTCGTCTTTTGGTAATTAATTATTTATTAATTAATTTTGTCAAGCCGGCCTCTTGTATTGGTGACAAAAAGTCATATCAAAATAACTTGTTCAACTATTATATAATATTGTTATTATTATTAAGACAAATTTATATATCAATATGATATTGGATTTAATCAATATATATTTATGGTAAATCATCTTATAATTTACTATATGGATTAAATTAGAGAAAGAAATAGCAAATATAATAGAAAAGGCAATTATTATAGAATACCAACTACAAAATAAAAGAAAGACTAAACATTACTACTCCGTAAAGAAGTGGAAAACATAATTATATATTAATTACAAACGGAAAAGGCCAACACTGCAACAACCAGACACGCAAACACATTGATATATTATTGCATAAATAAATCAAAACAAAAATAGAATATATATATATATATATATATGAAGTCTATCAACACACGCGCGCGCGCGCACACACACAAACACAAATTAATAGTAAATCATGACAAAGCCTATATATATATATATATAGAGTGTGTATATATATAGAGAGAATCCGACGAGATACTGACATCAGAAGCAGATACCATTGGCTGCGACTTGTTGACAATGATCGGATACCAATCCCTCTCTATCATTAATATAATTATTATTAATCCTATATCATTAAAAATATATATAAATCAATTTGCACAATAATAGCTCTAAATATTGATTATGTTTATAAATCAAATATATGTCTTCTGTGTCTTGAGCTTTTTGTATTGGACTGCACGTAATATGTTATCATTCTTTAATATATTCACTAATCATCCTAACCTAATTTCCTATAATATAATAATTAATTGATATTCGACTTTAACTTTATTATTAGCCCAAATAATTGATAATATGACATAAGCCCACCATGAAAATAAAACAATGACAAGTGACCATATATATATACACACTGGCATTATTTCAACCTTTCATTTTTTAGTCATTTACATCATTATCAATGACTTAATCCAACTTGCTAACATAATTAATTAATTAATTGCGATTACTTTCCAACTATATATATATATAAACACAATTACTTTCGTGCCTTGTACTTTGTGATGCAGACTACCTTTACTCTTTTACCACTTCACATGAATCCATCAATTCATATATATATATATTCAAGCTATCAACTAGGTTTAACAATATAAATAAACTACGTACATTAAACTTCTTGTACTTTTCTTGATCTCTCTCACACACACATACACACACACGTCTTAATTTATTTATAAATTGATTTCATTTACGATAAAAACCCTAAACAGAAGGATAAAGAACTAGAAAACTTGAACGGGACAGATGATTAAAAGTTAAATGTAAGAAAGATTTATGTGTCATTAAATTTTTATGCAAAAATAAATCTTGTCAAGCAAGTACGTGTGTGTGTGTGTGACATCATCGATCGGGTGTATTAATTCGACTGCGGCAATTGTTATTGCTGACGAAGTGATATAAAATAGGTAAGAGTTAATTACTGCAGCGTACCCTACCTTAGCTTTAGTTAACATTATTTAGACGACCATTATATTTATATATACATATATTAATTAGAGAGTAGTGTTAGTAATAGTAGTTTATTAGTTAATGAAATGGTAATCTTTAGTGCATGTTTCCCCATAAGCAACAGAGTGGGGCTGCTGGGTTTATCAGAAGCATCAGAAATCTGGGGCGGGGAAATTAATTAGTGGAGACCCCCCCTCTCTCTCTCTAGAGCTCTCTCTCTCTCTCTTGTATATATATATGGGTGTACTTTGAATGGAATCATGGACGACTCACGAGGATTCCACTAATCAATACAAAAGATGATCATTAATTAATTAATTAATTACGTACTTACTGCTTATAATAATGATTAATGACATTTTAGGTGGAGTTGAGGTGGGGGCCGGGGGCAAGTTAATTATAAAGGGGATCGGAGATGCGGCGAGTCGATGCAGACGATATATATGCCCCTCCACCATTTTGAGGGCCATCATTAATTTTTTCTTTCCATATTATATATAATTAATAATAATCTATGGTAGCTTTGTATTAACCTAGCTAGCTAATTGAGATTCTAAAGTAGTAATTAATGATAACATAAACGCAAGAAATTAAACTGAGATTCAAGAAAGTGTGCAAAGGTGATACATATATACATGAAATGAATTTTTGATGCGTATGTATGTATGTAGACATATAATGTAATAGAAAAGTCAAAGTCGTATATGTATGTACGTATTGTACGTATTGATCAAGTAGGTACAAGTACTACTACTACTTCATAGAAATTGGAAACTTTAGGGACCACATGAGAGGTCAAGGCCGGGATCAAGAATCTTTTCATGTGTGGTTGTGGTGGAACTGCAAGTGTCCAATGTGTCTTGCCTGTTGGTAACCTATATATACACCCACTTTACAAACATACCCATTTAATATAGAATTTAAAATGACTTGGTATATCTCATCTGAGTTACAAAACCCTAGATAAATAATTAAGGGAATGGGCTAAACTGGAAGTTTAACCAGAGTTAAAAAGTCAAAACACTAGTGCTCAGAATCTTTCAAGAGTCAATGGCGAGAATGTCACTATTAATAATTATGAAATGAAATGAAAGAGGAGGCCCAAGAATCTTTCTTTTCATTTTCAGTACAACTACTGCTGTTCCAGTATTAAGAGATTGATTTATATATAATAATAATAATAATACTAATAAGAATAAGAAAGATAAAAATGAATAATATATATACATATATATTTTTCACCATCCAAAACAAATTAGAATAAAAACCGATATTCAAGAATCTTTCTTTGTCCTATTATTATTTAGGGTAAATTACACACACCCCCCTGAGGTAAGCTTAAATAACTGTAAGGTCCCTATGGTATCGATAATTACACTTAGCCCCCTGAAACGTAGTCAGAAACTCTAATGGGATAATGAATTGGATACGTTATTCCGATAGGGTTCTAACGGACTATTGGTTTCAGAAAGTGGTGAAGACAACAAAGAACTATGGGGTAACATGGCTCCCCGAACATTCCCGAACATTTCTTAAATCACCCATAGCTCTTTGTTGTCTCCACCACTTTCTGAAACCAATAGTCCGTTAGAACCCTATCGGAATAACGTAACCAATTCATTATCCCATTAGAGTTTCTGACTACGTTTCAGGGGGCTGAGTGTAATATCGATACACAGGGACCTTACAGTTATTTAAGCTTACCTCAGGGGGGTGTGTGTAATTTACCCTATTATTTAACCAATTATTGTTTGTTCTTTTTCTGGAGGGGGGGGGGGGGGGTTTGATGTTATCTCGGAGATGAGAGATGCAAGTTCTGCTGCATAGGCGCGTGTCATTTTCATGGGACCTACATCTTACGTCTGCATAAAAAGAAAAGAGATTCTTCCTTCCCCCACATTAAGCCTCTCTCTCTCTCTCTCTCTCATCCCGCAACTTGCCATTTCCATTCATTCATTCATTCATTTTACTGCAAAAAACGAAAAAACACACAGAGAGAGAGAGAGAGAAAGAGATGTTTTGAAGTCTGAAGATAGGGGAAAATAGAAAGTGTATCTATCTATCTATCTCTTTTGCTGTTCCAGGAAAAAAATTGGTTTCTGCTGTTGCTTGTTGCTGTACAGGAAGAAATTATCCATTCTCTCCAAAGTGAGTGATATTCTCTCCATAGTGTGTATATGTATAAATGATCGGCCATTTTTTCCTTCCTTTCTCCTTTCCCCCCTTTTTACACCTTCGTTTCATCACACACACACACACACACACATCTTTCTCTGCTAATAATAAGGTGCTGCTGCTTCTCAAATCAAAGGGGATGATTAATTGATTTTAGTTGACCGTATCCCCCCACCCCCCCGCCCCTCTTTTTTTGGTGATTCCATTTTCCCCGGTAGGTAACGATTTACGAGATTCTTTTTTTCTCGACCCCTAGGTAGTTGCATCAGTACTCTTGGGTGTTTATGCATTTCCTTTTTGTTATGCATTCCTCTGTGCCACTAATCTATCCGCCTAGCTTAAACTGCATCTGATGCATTTCTGACTGGGGTCCCGCTTCTTTTGTGTTTCGGTTCTTGATCATTGTTTTTCTCCCTTTATTCTAGGTGTAGGTATATATAATATATATAGTAGGGGAGGTGGAGATGGAGGAATGAGAAGAAGTGATAATGGAAGATGATGATGGGTTCACACCAAATAGTAGCAGCATGCTGGGAACTAGTACAGTTGATTTCAGCCTCATGGACGAGCTCTTGTACGATGGATTCTGGTTAGAGACTACTACTGATGAATCCAACTTCTGGCGCCCTTTTCCTACTCCTACCGATCTTAACTCCTCTTCTTCCTTCTCCTTTCCTCCTTCTTCAGACATTCATACCAACATACCCAGTTTCAACTCAAACCCACCCCACCCCACTTACTTGAAAGAATCTGATAACTCCAATATTTTTAGCCTCCCATCTTCTCTCAATTACCCACCACCCCCACCCCCACCCCCACCACCTCCACAAATGGATGGTTCTTCCCAAAACAATGAACCCTCTGTTCCTTTAGACCAGTCGACGAGTTATCAGGTCGAAGATACACAAGTGAACAACAGAAGGATGTGGGTGAGGCCAGCTAGAAATCCAATCCGCACAATCTCAGTCAGGAAGAGACTAGTGCAGGCCATTAATCACCTTAAAGATTCTATAAGGGATAAGGATGTCCTTATTCAGATCTGGGTTCCTGTCAAGAATGGAGGCAAACAAGTCCTCAGAACCAATGATCAACCCTTTGTCCTAACTGCAAACAGCAAGAATCTTGCAGAGTATCGTGATGTTTCCCTCAACTATCAGTTTGCAGCAGACGAAAACTCCAAGGAGCTTGCTGGCTTACCTGGCCGAGTTTTCTTGAACAAGTTACCCGAGTGGACCCCCGATGTTCGTTTCTTCAAAAGTGAGGAGTATCCACGTGTTAATCATGCCCAACAGTACAACGTTAGAGGATCCGTTGCACTTCCAGTTTTTGAACAGGGCAGTGGTAATTGCTTGGGGGTCGTTGAAATTGTTACAACTAGTCAGAGAGTCAATTATCGCCCCGAACTTGAAAATGTCTGTGAAGCTCTAGAGGTATTGGACTGTTCTGCACTCTAGGTTCCTATCTCGTGTTCACAAAACACGTGACAATTCCAATCTTGTACAACAACTCTTGTTCTCGTATCTATGTTGCTTTGAACAAACATTACTCTTGCCTGCAGGCTGTTGATTTGAAGAGTTCTAATATACCGATTCCTCCCAATGTTGTAGAGGTAATGGATGATTTTTTATTTGAAGTTTGGCAAATCAAAATTATCTGCAATTTGAAATTTATACAAAAAAGATTCCATATTGCAATTTATCAGGATGGCAATGAATCTTACCAAGATGTGCTGATAGAGATCAGAAATGTTTTGAAATGTGTATGCAACACCCATAAATTGCCTTTGGCACAGACATGGGCTCCCTGCACTCAGCAAGGTAAAGGTGGTTGCCGCCACTCGGACGAGAACTACACACATTGTGTTTCCACCATTGACTCAGCCTGCTACGTGGCCAATCAGCAAGTTTCCGGCTTTCACGAGGCATGTTCTGAGCACCACTTGCTCAAAGGTGAGGGTATTGCCGGCAAAGCTTTCCTGACAAATGAACCCTGTTTTTCTGAGGACATAACGGCTATGAGCAAAACAGAATATCCTCTCGCACACCATGCGCGCATGTTCAATATGTGTGCTGCTGTAGCTATACGGCTCAGAAGCACATACACGGGGACTGCTGATTTTGTTTTGGAGCTGTTCTTGCCGCTGAATTGCAGAGATGCTGAAGGTCAGAGACAGATGCTCGACTCTTTATCGTCTGTTATACAGAGAACTTGCCAGAGCTTACGAGTGGTTACGGATCAGGAGTTGGCTCGAGAAACTTCAGCCAGGGAGACAGGTGGCACTTTAGCTGGTGGAAAACGTCCAAAGTTGGTAGATCCAACATCCAAAGAAGCATCTCCGAATCCTTCATCCTCGACAATGCAAATGAAAATGAATGATTCCCAGCAAAAGGGCAAAGGAGTTGCTTTCACATTGGGTCATCACAAGGAGGAACCAACAGAGTTCAATGTGTCAACCACCCAGTGGGATAACTCAGGGTCGGAGTTCCATCAAATGCCAGCTTTCTTTGGGGATGAGCAACACCAGCAGGACTCTGGGCCCAAACCAAGTCTTGAGAGTAGTGGAAACTTTTTCTTTGCTGGTGGGGATCTTTCTGTTGGTTCTAAAACAAGCGCTGAAAAGAGAAGGACAAAGACTGAGAAGAGTATTAGCTTGCAAGTACTTCGGCAATATTTTGCTGGGAGCCTAAAAGATGCTGCCAAGAACATAGGAGGTATGATGATTGTTCCTTTCTTAGCTAATAGTGCTTTGAGTTCTGATTTTTTTTTGCTTTCTCTTGGTCCAGATTTGTTGTCAATCGAAGATCTTTTCGAAATTCTTCATGAGTTTAGCAGGATAATAAACTTTAAAAAATCTAATTCCAGCTCTTTAACTACATTTGCAGTGTGTCCAACGACTTTGAAAAGAATATGCAGACAGCATGGTATAACTCGATGGCCTTCTCGGAAGATAAAGAAAGTTGGGCACTCGTTGAAGAAACTTCAACTTGTGATTGATTCAGTCCAAGGTGCAGAGGGTTCTATTCAGCTCAGTTCTTTCTACAACAACTTCCCCGAACTTGTCTCTCCAAATGTACCAGGAAGCAGCCACTTATCGACGTCAAAGATGAGTGGTCAGGTGAAGACTCGGGCGGATGGGACCTTGTTAAGTCCTACAACCACAGCTTCAAAATCATCTTCTTCCTCAGGCAGCCATAGCTCAAGTTCAAGCTACTGTTGTTCTACTGGAGTGAAGCAGTCGTCTTTCCCTGTCAACGGCTCAAGCAGTGGAGATGCTCTATCAGCAGAACAGACTGAAGGGATGATGCTAAAAAGAGCACGGAGTGATGCAGGATTACATGACTTGTTAGGCCAAGAAGAAACAAAGCTTTTAGTTCGATCATGCAGCCATAAATTCTTCAGCAACAATGCTTCTGCTGAAGCTCCACCTGTGCCAGAGAAGAGCAGCAAGGCACCACATGATCATGTCGATACTTTCAGAGTAAAAGCTGCTTTTGGGGAAGAAAAGATCCGTTTCAGTCTGCAACCACAGTGGGGTTTCAAAGATTTACAGCAAGAGGTGTTTAGGCGTTTTAACATAGACAATGGCGGTAGAGTTGATTTAAAGTACCTGGATGATGACTCCGAGTGGGTGCTTTTGACTTGCGATGCTGATCTTGAAGAGTGTATAGATATACACAGATCCTCCAAGAACAAAACAATTAAACTCGCCCTCAATCAAGCCTATCATCATCCAAGTCTTGGAAGTTCATTAGGAAGTAATGGCCCATACTAAAGTTGCCTTTTTCTTACCATGAATAAGAAGCTGTAACTGATGGCGTGTCCGGTTCCTCATTCTACATTTACCATTCTACGTGGTTATCGATCTTGGGGACAAGCATGGTCGTAAGAAGCTAGATAATAGCAGTCACAGAGTGACATTTCGTGTCTTTACTTTTTTTTTTTAATGGTACTACAGTCGATGATACCTTCTACTGTACCATAATATGTACAAAAGGTTACCCTCAAAGATCTGTTTGTCAAAGCAAAGAAGAAGCGATTGTATATTTTTTTTATTTTTTTTCATTTTACTTTTTTTACAAATGGAGGTTTTGAATTATTTGTAGTACACTGCATTTCTTTTTCCTGAGTAGAAACAGTGGCTCATGTTTGCTACTGTATGTCCATAAAAGAAAGCCTTTCCATTACTCAGAGAAAAAATATAAAAGTTCACCCAAGTGTAAAAACCATTTACTTGAAACAAAGGAAGCCACTGGCTCTTGGTTTTCGCTCCAAAGTCTCAATAGCAGCATTTAGCATTCCTCAGTCTATTAAAACAATTGAGAAATTTCACCCAAGCATTAGGCTAATTTGAGAATTATGTTGTCATCATAAAAACATATTTATATGTAAATATATGAATTCAATGTTGACATTACCTGCTTGCGAAGAATAGCATGTAGAACACCCATTGTTCGGTCCTTATCGTCATGTTCTTGACATAACGCAGCTGCATCAGTCCTGAAATAATTGCACACTGAGCACCAAGCTAAACTTAAGACAAAGAATAACTAAAAACACTTAGAGAAGATCAGAACATGTATACTAGTATACGAAAAATGGCATATGAAAGAGACAGTAACAACAATCATGTGCAGTCTAGCATAGAACAGAAACCAACTATTTTCAGCCAACAAAAAATAAGAAAAACCAGAAACTTGGTCCAAATACACTTGATAAGTGATAACTGGCTCGGAAATGTCTTGTTTCACCATACCTGAAAACAAGTAGAACCGGAACCTTGTCACAGCCAATGAGCGAGATCTCTGACCTTGATTCCTGGCACTCAGCTGACTCCTCACCCTAAGTATATTTAGACAGTAACATCCCATTCATCAAAAACCTCATTTTTCTGGGCTTGAAGATATCCCTGACCCCAGCCTTTCTGTACTCGCTTCAGAGTTTTCATGGCAATGGCACTCCCGTCATCTCTGTCAAGATTGGGCAAAAGACATTATACCAAGATGCCAAAAATAAAATTAAAAAAATGCACTGAAACTTAAACGATAGGTGGAGACGATCATTTGCTGACTGACAATATCTATACCCCATGGTATCTTAAAATGGAATTGGCACAATTCTCAGTACTAGGATACCTCAATACAAAAGTGAACCAATAGAATTGTGTTGCTATTTTTGGCATTTGTAAAATATCTTCAAATAAATTCATCGTGTATCTGAAGATGTTCTAAAAGATCTAAGCAGTAGATCATGGAATACATTGTAGTCATCAAATAATGAATTGAAACACATGATTGACTCATCATGACTTGTACTACTAGAAACTAAATGGTCATTTCATTTTTATTTTTTTACCATCGTAATATGTGGTGACATCAAATACCGGAATCAGTTTAAAAATCTACCTGGAATAAAACTAACACCCAAGAGCCGAAGATCTAAATAGATACGGATATCAAATAGGAAAAGAATACGAGAAGAACTCAGGCAGCCACTCCAACATTCATACCTGTGCAGAATGGTTTGCCAATCACTGCCACCATCACTATATTTTTTGCTATGATTTAACTTCTTGCCGTCTATATGAACATTATTTTCAATCTCAACTTCTGAACTCATGGCTAACATTCGTTCTGTCAGTTCATTGACTTCATGTTTATTTCCCCTTCTACCTAAATAATCAATCACAGGCATGAACAATGCGGGGTCAAATCTACAACCTCTCTGCAGCATTTTCTTAAGAAGATCATAAGAGCACTCTAAATTCTCATGGAGACATAATCTATCAAATAGATCTTTGTAGCAAAAACTGCTCAAATCAAAACATCTGTCTAATGCATCTTCAAATAATTGCTTAGCTTCCAAAATTTCACCTCCAGAAAGTAACTCATTGAACATCAAACTATAAAGTACTTCCTTGTGACCCCAAACACTGACAGCAATCTCAAAGGCGTCCTGTGCTGGTCTGAACTCCCCAGTCCTGCAGAAGGTTTTGATTAACAACTTGAAGGAATATATATTAGGTGTTATCCCTCTCTGCAGCATCTCATCAAAAAGAAAAGCGGCTTCTTCACTTCTTTCTCCCTCACAAATAGAACTAAGAACAATGTTGTAAGTGTAAACATTAGGAGAAATACCTCTTTCTTTCATCTCATCCATCAGACCAAACATTTCGAATACTTGATTTGTACTACCTAATCCAAATATCAAGCAATTGTAAGTTTCTAAAGTCTTGTTGCAACCTTTTCTCTCCATATCTTTTAGAACCTGAAATGCAGATGATATCTTTCCCCTCTTACACAAGTTGTGCAGAAAAATATTATATACAAAGGAATCAGGACATAATTTTCTACCCAACATCTCAACAAATTTCTTTTTGGCTTCATCAAGCCGGCCATCCCTGCATAGTCCATTTATAACTGTCGAATACGTAATCAAATCAGGCAAGCATATCTTCCTATTTTCATCTACTAGACCAATGTACGAGTTTCCCAAGTTGCCAAGAGCAGCACTACCATGAACCCACATTTCACTCACAATTTCAACGGCTTTATCGACCTTCCCACTTCTACATAATCCATCAATCACAATATTGCAGCTCACAGTATCTAAGCCTTCACCTCTTTCGTTCATCTTTTGCATTAGCCTCTCTGCTTCTGCTATTTTACCTTCTCTCCAAAGGCTGTGGAGCAGTATGTTGCAAGTGTAAGTATTCGGCAAACATCCACCGCTAATCATCTCGTTTAGAATTTTATTAGCCTCAACTTTCTTTCCTTTCCTGCAATACCCTTGGAGCAGCGCGCTATAAGTGGCAACATCTGGGGAAACTCCACTAGTTATCATCAAATCAACGACTCTCCTCGCATCTGCAAACATATCATTTTTACATAAACCATCAATTAAAATGTTATATGAGTATGCATTTGGCCGTGCTCCATCATCAGCCATCTCTTCTAGGACAGCTTGAGCCTCCAAAAACTTTCCGTTCCTTACCAAACCCAACAGCCATATGTTATAACTGTCCACACTTGAGAAAATACCATCTCTTTTCATGGATAGGACTAGAGTTTTTGCTTCTTCCAACATCCCCTCCCTGCAAAATCCATCCAACATCAAGTTGTGTGTCACAGCATTAGGATTCGGCAACCCCAACTCCCCATCCATTTGCATATCCCTGAATATCCTAGATGCTTCTAGAATCTTCCCAGACTTGCAAAGAGCAGAAATCCTAGTGTTGAAGGTAACAACATTCGGGGCGAGACCATCCTCTTTCATCCTCTCCACCAATCTCTCAGCCTCATCATTGTTACCCTCCTTACAAAAACTGGCGATGAATGTGTTGTATATTACTATATTAGGAACGGAACCCATCTTTTTCATCAAATCCAGAAGCTCCATACCTTTTAGAGCGAGACCATATCTACAATATCCACGTGCCAAAATTCCGAAGCTGTAGTCATTAGGTTCACAGCCTTTTGCGCGCATTAAATCAAACAGCTCCCGCGCATCTTCCAATCGACCAGAGTCGCACAACCCATCAATCAAAAGATTGAGAGTATAAGTTTCGAACTTAACCTTGGATAAAATGATATCTTTATACAGCCAAGAAACGAAATTGGGGCAGTTTTGTTTGAGACAAGTTCGAACAAGCAAATTGTACAGGATGATAGACGGCGGGGTGTGAGGGAATTGGGTTCGAATAGATTGGAAATGAGAAAAGGCCTTGTGAACATGGTCGGCATTGGCTAAGAACTTAACAATGGAATACAAAAGATGATGTTGGGGTGTAGGAAAAAGGAGGAGATGGTGGTGGAGAGTGTCTATCTCGGAGAGCATATTGGCGCGGATCAGAATAGGTATTATGAGAGGGAGGGTTCGTCGGAATGAGGTGATATTATTACATTTGCCGACGATGAGAGTGCGGTTGAAGAGCATCCATGCCAGTTGGGGGTTGTTCGAGTTTTTCACAATAGCTTTACCCAACAGTTTTGCCTTCTCCATTGTTGCCGCGGTATCTCTCTCTCTCTCTCTGCTTGATAATTAATTTTGCAGTGTAAAATTAATTTTATGGGGTGTAAAAAATGGGCTGTTTTGCTTAGGCCCATAAAAGTGGGCAGTGCATTATCGTATTGGGCTGTTTATTTAGGCCCATAAAAGTGGGCAGTGTAGTACCGTAATGGGCTTTTTTTAGGCCCATAAAATGGGCTGTTTTAAAAAAAAAACACTTTTTGAACACTTTAATTAATAATTCATAATTGTAATGTAATGACTAATGAATGATCCGAACAACACTAATCATGATACAATACAATAATTTCCCACCAAAATTACCTAATAATCTCTTAACTAGCAGCAGCAATTGCACAACAAGGTGATTGCATCAGACAAAGGGGAAAGTCTAGAACCTACAACCTGCGGCCAAGTATAAATAGTACTTACTATAGCTGTTGATAACCAGCCTGATCACTAAAATGTACTGCTCTAGGCTGTCTGAGTTTCTCGATTCTTTCAAGGATCTCAACACTTTCTTGCATCGACGGTCTCTTTTTCGGTTCCATTTCGAGACAATTTAGAGCAAGCTGAGCTATTTCAAATACAGATGCCAATGGATATCCTCCTTGTAAACGTGAATCCATTACAGTCTTCAACCTATTGGGCTTGCGTAAATATGGCTTGATCCAATCAACAAGAACACGTTGTTCGGATGGACGACTTCTGTCTATTGCTCGTAACCCAGTCAGCATTTCAACTAGGATCAGACCAAAACTATACACATCACTTTTCACGTACAAATGCCCTGCCCTCAGATTAACAAACATGCCCCCATTAGAAATGAATCATCAAGTATCAACTACACCTACATGCTTTCAATATTTTTAGTTAGCATGTTGTTTTACCTGTTGCTACGTACTCAGGAGCAGCATAACCGTATGTTCCCATTACCCGAGTTGACACATGTGAATGATCCGAATTAGCCATTGGACCCAATTTTGCCATACCAAAGTCCGAGAGCTTAGCATTGTATGACTGAGATGGCACTCAAAATTAATACACCAACATCAAAAAATAAATAAAAAAATAATTTAATATCATTTTCATCAAACTACAATACGAAAAAGATCGATCACGTGTTTGGATCTTCTTAATTACCTCATCGAGCAATATGTTTGAGGGCTTGAAGTCTCTATAGATAATTTGCGCATCTAATGCGTGCAAGAATGCCAGACCACGAGCTGCTCCAATTAATATCTTAAGCCTAATCACCCATGGAAGCGCCAGAAAAGCAGAACCCCCTAAACAGCAAAACAAGTATTAATACAATATTTGTGGACCTAAATACAATAAGGAATCATTAAGTCAACAACATAAGTAGAGGAATTCAATTTCATACTCGTAAAAAGTTGTGCCTCTAAGCTGCCTTTTGGCATAAATTCGTACACAAGCAGTAGCTCTTTATCCTCCCAACAGTAGCCCAACAGCTTTACCAGATTGGGGTGAGAAAGCCTTCCAAGGAACTCCACCTCAGACTGCAACATTAATGACACATATTCAATCAAGTTGGTTTTTTATTCTGTAATTAACAAGATGAACACGTACAGGAATAGTTTAAGTAATCTCAGGTCACATATGTATCTCGTAGTTATGGTCAATTAAAAAAAAACATAGAGGTTCCATTTGATCTGAAGGATTTGGAACCACTCCATTTTGACAGATTTAAACTCATACAAAGACTCAAAAACTAGTTCAAATTGATATCTAAGTACTTGAAATTTATTCTACAATAAACTCACACAGACAAGCTTAAATGAGTTCTTATTATGGATTTGAAATCATTTGTTATATATCATTCCATCCAAATGCAAACAAAATGTACATCCATAAATAACTTGCATTCAGTAAATTTCCAAAGAGAAGGACATAGGTTATATCCAAAACATTGATTTTCAATTTTTATAATGTATAATGCCTAAGGTAATTAACAAGAATGATGATTTTAATAGAAAGCTACAGTAGCTAAAAACCAAATTAGCAACTAATTACCTTCCACTCTTCAAATCCCTGCATGCTTTCAGAATTCAACTTCTTAACAGCAACTACGGATCCACTTCCATTATTCCCGGAAAATTTCTCATCGAGCCAGCCCTTGTAAACTTTTCCAAAACCACCTTCTCCAAGAATACTGTCACTTCTGAAGTTTTTAGTTGCAGCCTTCAGTTCCGAAAAGGAGAAAATCCTTAAATTGGGAGTTACAATCAATTCATTGCTTCCACCTATTGCCTTCTCAGAAACAGCGCTGCCTCGTAATGTTATAATTCTGCTCCTACGTGATATTGGTGCTGCAAATAGAGACCAGTTTCAGTACTATTGTTAGATAAATAGTTACAGGATCGAACAGACCCAGTCTTCCACATTCCTTTTTCTTTTTTATTATGAATAGAATAGCTGAAATTTAGTAGTACTAATAATCATTTACCCGCCCCGCAGGACTTGCAATTAAGCACCATAAGTTTGTAACTGAAAGTAATCACACTGCTTTTGAATATCAAGTTGGACTCAATTAACCATCATTCAGTTTTAAGACTTTAGCCAACAATACCTTGAAAGTTTATCAATCGATCTATTGCGTTAGCTAAAAAAGGGTTGAGGCTCGTAAAGCTGACTTGACGAAACACAATTTGTAAATAGAAGGAATGTTACCATACTACCACTTTTCATGCTCATTGTAAACATGAGCTAGTCCAAGCAATTAACGTGCCTTCTACTTTTTATCAACATATGGGAATATATGTTTCCTAAACTTACTGTTACCAAATTAATACCTGATAATGAGAGGCCGACTGGATCCTTTTTCTTTGATGGTTTTACAGAGCTCCAAACTGCATTCCATGGCAAAAGACGTGATAGCTTATGCATTGCTTTTTTTCTTCCATCTTTTTTTCCAAAACTAATCATTTCACTTTTAATTTGTTCTCTCAGGGGGGATGCAACATTTTGCACACTAGAAGATGCCGTGGTCATCAGTTGTGAGCTCACTGATGGAATATTTCGATCACTATATGACGTAGCATTGGCAACCCTTGCAATCTCATCTGGTAATAAAGATTTTTCTTTCTCCTGCATAGCATAAACCGCATTTGTTCTTTCATTGGCTACTGGAGATTTCGCATTCTCCTGCCGAGGCAACACATTAGCAACATTTGTTATCTCATTTGGTACCAATGGAATTGCATTCTCATGCTGATATTTATCAATAGATTGAAAGCCATCAGCAAAACTAGTTATCTCAATCGGTTCCCAAGATTCTGCATTCTCTTGTTGCTTAAGTGCAACCTCGAGTTTTAGTACAACGTTTGCTATTGCTGGTCGTTTCTTTGGTTCGTCGTGCAAGCATCTTACTGCTACCCTCACAAAGGTCTTGAGGCTATCTGGTGAGATTTCCCGCCTTAGACTTGGAGCTATAATCTGCTCAACTTCTCCCTTACTAATGTAATCTCGAGCCCACATGGTTAGACTTCGTTTATCTTCTTCAGCCCATGGCTCCACTGCTGGTCTCCCACACAATACTTCCAACAACACCACACCAAAGGAATATGTGTCACTCTTTGTTGTCAGTTTACGAGTTTTAAGATAATCTGGGTCAAAGTATCCAAATGTGCCTTTAATATTTGTGCTAGCTTGGCTTTGTGACTCGCTTTCGATTTCAATTTTAGCTAAGCCAAAGTCTGAGACCTTAGCTACAAATTTTTGATCAAGCAGTATATTCGAAGCCTTCACATCACGATGTATGATCCCATTACCAGTGTGAAGATAGTCCAGCCCTCTACCAGCTCCAATGCATATCTTAAGTCTTTGCTTCCAAGACAGAGGTAACCAAACATTGCCTTTCCTAGCAAGTTTGTAAAGATGGTCAGCCAGTGTTCCACAGGGCATGTGCTCATAAACAAGGATCATTTCATTCTGCTCATTGCAGTAGCCAATCAGGGATACTAGATTGACATGTCGGAGCTCAGAAAGCATTTCAATCTCCGTCCAAAATTCACGCTTCCCTTGCTTGGAGTCTGTTTTTAATCGCTTTATGGCCACAATCTCTTGCATGTTATCTACAAACCCTTTGTAGACCTTACCAAATCCACCCTTCCCAATCACAAATGCATCATTGAAGTCTTCAGTGGCCGACTGGATCTCAGCTAGTGAAAAGCGACAGCAGAGTCTATTAGTCCTGGCCGGTGGCTTCTCTTCCTCCTCCTCGATGGCAATGGCAATGTTAGCCCCCCAATTTTGCGGCAGCATATGAATAATGACGTTTATCAGACACATTACAGCAAAGACAAAAGTTGCAATCGTGTTTCTGCGACCAAGAACCGAGAGTAGAAGTTGGATAGCCCGAGACGATGAATCTCGTGTTGGGGGCAAGGGGTTTGGGCTGGCAAGACTGTTGTCGTGATTGCTCAACTTGAATATTTCAAAACCTTCAAGTGGAGTATGCCCATCCAAAAATCCATGTATACAACGCAAGGAAATAAAGAGATCGCGTTTACCCTCGTGTTTGTTCCCATTGATGACGACCATGTAGTTCTTATACCAGAGGATGCCATCACCTTCCCTTAGTCGGTGTATGTCATCGCTGGTGATGGCAATCATGTGATTAATGAAAAGTGTAAAGTCGTTGAGCTGAGCCTGTGCCATTCGGAGTCCTTGCTCACAGAAATGAAGTCTGACCAAGTACCTGAAACCCACATCCACAGGTATTTTCCAGGTGATATTATTGTTGTTATTAATAAGAAGTTTGTTTGCCTTTTGTTTAAGAATGGTTGCCCACATTCCAAACATGCCAGGGATATCATCGGCCCATTTGAGATTGAGTCGGTGAACAATTTCAAGTGCGGTGGAGTTGTCGATGTGGATAACGGAATCGGTGGCAACCAATTGGACACCAGAATCTCCACTGTGACAGTAGGAAAGAGTAGAAGGTACTGAGATAATCTCGATGCCATTAATGAAAGCGTAGGTGTGTTTTGAAGAAGGAGAGAAGATTATGTTGAAGGGGTGATTAGGGTGTGTGATGATGCAGAATTCCTTGACAAAAGTAGTGAGAGAAAGGGCACGAGCAGTTAAAGAGGGGCTGAAATTGGAGAGTAGGGTGAAAGGTCCAGCTTCAACAGTGAACAAGTCTTCTTTCAAACCACCATAGTAGGAAGAGGTGGGGTTGAAGTGAAGGCGGATAACTTTCTGACCTGGATTCAGATTAAAAGTGTAGGAGAATTGGGAGAGAGAGATACGCGCAGTGCCGTACGGAACTGTTGTTGTTGTTGCTATTGATGATGATGATGATGATGAGCCCTTAGTAGAAGTAGTTGGGATATCTGGGAGCCATTCTCTGCCGGAGGGTGCTGTTGAACTTGTGGTTGAGGAGCCGCAGTTTATAGAAATGTGGTCGCCAACAGCAGCTGCTGCTGCTGTAGATGCAAACAAGACCAAGTACACAATTATTTTTAGATGAAGCTGGTGCATGATGATCATGATTATGTTTCATTCTCCCAATTATTAAACCTTATACAATAGTAACATATGGTTCATTTTCATTTACGCGCAACACTACTGGAAAAGTTGACTACACCCAGTCAGTCAACGGGTCCCAATTTTCCTATCTCCTTGCATCTTCTTCTTGTCTTCCTTTTCTTTTTTTATTTTACTTTTATTCTCTTGACCGACACTTGCTATTTCAGACTGTACCTATTTCTTCCGTATTAAGATAAGCTAGATCATACTTATCAAAAAAAATAAAAAGAAAGATAAGCTAGATCACTAGTTAGTTTGCAATAACTGACCAAAGACAAGAAGAGATTTGAGAATTCTTAGCCAAAGACTTGAATTTTTCCTTTCGGTCTAGATACGACAACAGTAAAAGAGAGAACGTGTGTGTGAATTGTGAATTTTGAAGAAAGAAAAAAATAAATTGAGTTCTCTATTATTATTCGTTAAGATTACAAAGTTGTAAATAGAAATTATCAAACATGACATATCTGGACCAATAAGATCTGTACTTTCCGATGGCAAGATCCAACCATGGTTTATAATTCCCGTTGTAATGGACAACGGCAGCATTCTGTATTTCAGTTTGGTTGAGGGCAGGATCATATCCCAATCCCAAGACATGCCAGCTTCGCTCCAGAGGATGGGTCAAGTTGTAGAAAGTAATCAAGCCAGGTGGCAGTGTCCCAAGTTTCCATAGAGTCCTGTCTTCGTTCTGTTGTTATCAAATAACCACATTACAGTTACAACCAGCATTCGGATCCTAAATGATATAATACTACTACGCAGTAAACCAGAGGATTTGCATGCAATAAACCCAATTCATTTTCCGGTATAGCACAAAAACATATAAGCAAGCAAAGTAAATGCATTTGGGCAAAAATTAAATACACATACCATTTCTTGCCAATGATGATAAATTCCAGTAATGTCACGTTTCCTCCATTCTCTCAGGTCGAATATATTCATGCCAAATGCCCAGCCACATGCATTTGGATCAAAATTCTCGGATATCTTTGGATTAGAAAAATTGAGATACTTGTCAAACCTATGGAAGCTTTCCTTGCAGGTTTCAACAGCACCATTCACCATCCCTTGCAGGTTGACAGACCATAAAGGTGTCAGATCCTTCTGAACAACAATGTCATCATCCAGAAACAATACCTTATCCAGCTTTGGGTACACTTCAGGAAGGTAAAATCTAAGATGATTAAGCATTGACAAATATTTTGGATTCCTATACTTCAGATTGTCAGAGCCAGCAGTTAGTGATGAAGACTGATGTGCCTTGAAATAGTATTCTATCATGCGTGAAGATTCAAGCTGGCGTAAGACAGGACAGTAGGATGAATTCAGCCAAGTAAAGTCGTCCACATTCTGGACTTGAATTGCCGCACCAACTGGAGCATTGACTAGAAACCACATTTTCATAGCTGCAAAATTCAGCTTATCTGTGACTATATGGAAAACATGTCTATCAAGCTCTTTTGCGTGTAACATTGTTGAGTTCACCACAACTGATGTCGCAAGTACATTATCAGAAAAGATTGCATAATGGTATAAAGAAGGATCCTCAAGTTTTTCTTTGCCAGGAAAATCTTTCCCTTCATAGTTACGTAGGTGATAGTCTGTTGTGAGAACTAAGGGAATGCAATGCAGCGGTCTGGGGACAGTTTTTGCCGCTAGCTGATTCAAAAACGAGCTCTTCTTTTTTGACAAATTTACATTAGTCTCACTTGACTGAAGCATGACTCTCAACTTTCTTGCTATGGTAACACAATCATATAAACGGTCCTTTGCTGTAGCAAGAATATGACCCATGGCTTTTGCTTGATCAAGCGCACTGAATCAGACATAGAAAGAAAATAAGTAAATAATTCTGTAGAAGAGGCTATTACCAAAAACATGAAAAAATTAACAAGACCTTGGATGAAGTTCAGCATCAGTTGTTGCTTCTTGTATAGAAAGTTGACTTTCTCTAGAATGTTTAATTAAAGAGTTATACAGCATAGTCTCGTTCTTAGCCTTGGCAATTGTTGCATAAGCTTTTGCCATTATGATCTGGTCTCGCATAAGTTTTACTGTGGAATCAGAGTTGGGGTTTTCATATTCTTTCCTCCATATACTGTATTTACCCCTAACAGTGGTGTCAAGCTCTCTAGCTCGTTCAATGGCTGCTTCTTGCATCTGGTTATCAATCTCTTTCTCTTGCTTGATCAGATCAGCAGTTCGCCTCTCCCTCCTCTCCCTTCGTAGCATCTACGGTACGATGAATAGTTATTAAGAAGACCATTTAAGAAATATACCCATCTGCATAACCAAATTACACATTTCACCTGTCTCTTAAGTTTCACTGGATGCATGGGGGATGCTTGTGTTTGAGGCATTTCAACTCCAGATTGATGATCATTGCTAGAATCTTCAACAATGTCTCTAGAGCTCATTTTAGGTGGAATTGGGTCATGTACTATCTGAGACTGAAAATTGATGGAGAGTGTGAGTACCCTAGAATCATGACCAAAATTAGGTTCCACATGATTGGACGAAGAGAACACAAAATGGTGATATAGTTGTAGAAGTCACCAGTGAATTCTTTGTTAGATCATGGGTCACATCACCAGGGCTTTTCCATACCCATGAAGCAGATAGATCACCAGACTTGATACTCCTAACTTGAACAGCACCAGAATGGTCACTGTATGTCACGATTATGTCAATATCCTGCAAAAAGTAGGTAAACATATATGATGTAACTGTGACCACTTGCATGAAATGAAGAAAGCAATTATTACCTTTACATCTGGACGACTAGTTGAACTAGTGTTGCTCTGATCCTGTCAAGCCATTGTTAAGTCCAACCAAAGTGAACTATCAGTTTTTGCAGTAAATGTGAGGAAAACAAAAATCTAAGAGACAGATGAAATTAGTCCCATGTGGCAGACTCTCTTTGTTCGGGGTTTTGAGCAACCTATCAAATCGATTAACATACTCCTATTCCCATTCATGGATAAATAAACAGGGCTAATTATAAACAAGGCATGTCTCAAATATTATCCTCGACGTCAGTTTAGTTATTCCCAAGCTGCACATCCTAGAGAACAAATTTGAGCGACAACCAAAGAAGTAAACATAGAAATTCCAAGAATGAACAAAAACTTTTGAGGCAGTTTGTCAACCCATGGACAGGAACGAATTAGTACCTGCTTGTCAATACAATGTGGACAGTCATACAGCGGGGTATGCATATTTCTTTCTCTTTGACTGAGGAAAAGAAAGAGAGGAGCATGGGATGAAATAAACCAAATCAGCAGTTGTATGACCAGAAAGAATACAATTAGCCATAATAGATAGACTAAAGAAATGAAAAAAAATATGTGTAATGAGCCAACTTACAGTGCTGCAGATATATGTGACACCTGCGCTCTGACTGCGAAAACATGATTCACATCCTGCATCAATATGCTCTAATTATATAAGAGAAGTATGAAATAGTAAGAAAATGACGATGATGAGGAAACTGAATAATTGAACAAATGGCGGGATGGGTATGATACTAATTGGGACAATCCAAACAATAAGAGTGGATGTGGAATTTAAAATAGCAATGCGTTGGAATGGCTACGAAAAGTGAAACCCTAAGTAATTTTAGTTTGACGGAAAGTAATATTGAATGCAACTGATAGAAGACGCAAATAGTAGCCGATCTGGATAGATTGTGAAACAGGAAATCAATATATAGAGTATAATTAATTAGAGAAGAGAGAAGGAAACGGTGATTGATTGGATTGGATTGGATTGGATTACCAGGAGGAGAAGGAAGGTTGCGACGAGTAATGCAGACATCAAAATTGCTCCCATTACAGTAATCGATTGAAACGATTGAAACGACGCACAGCGGGATTCGGAATCTGACCTTGTTCTCCTCTTCCCATCATTTCTTATTCGATCGAACGTTTGAAATCACCACTTTGCGAAATGGTAATGAGAATTTAGAGGAGGCATAGTTAATATAACTGGGCCTGCTAGTTTGTGATTTATTTACCGATAAACTTTGATTTGGTCAAATTGTAATATCATCATGACCTGATGGGAATGTGAATCTATAAATTAATTCGGTCGTACAATTTGAATACAGTACGATCAACGATCAAGAGTATGTATAAGTAATCACGTCTTGAATACATAATAATATAGAGTCAAAACATGTAACCAAATGAAGAACCAAAGAGTATCATATCATATCATATCATATCTACTAAAACAACGACTGTTTCCATATCTACTTTCTCAACTCTATTTAGTATTTACATTTACAACAACAAGTACACACACACACAGGCACCGTAATTGATTCTTAAAATGGAATTAAACGCGTGGTGGCAGGGGATAGGCTGGATTAATATTAGGGGCTTGTTGCCTTGGATGAAGTGGAGAACGGTACTGCAGAGGTTGTCTCTGATGGTGACTAGAATGATGTTTTTGTACTCTTGGCACTCTAGGTCTCTCACTAACCGACTCGATTCTTTCAAGTGCCTCCACTATCTCTTGCATTGACGGTCTGTTTTTAGGTTCACTCTCGAGACAAGTTAGAGCAAGCTGGGCTATGTGGAGAGCAGATTTAGAAGGATATCTTCCCTCCAGACGCGAATCCATAATGTTCTTTAACTTCCTCCTCTCACACAAATGTGGCTTTATCCAATCAACCAAGCTATGCTGTCCAGATGGACGGTTTGTATCTAGTGCCCGCAAACCGGTCAGCATTTCGACTAACACCACACCAAAACCATATACATCACTTTTCACATACAAGTGCCCTGTTACAAGTAGCATTAGTAGAAAACACAGTTTTGAATTATAACAAGCCCCATTCTTCTTCTTTCAGTTCAGAAGAGCTCAAAAGACAGAGTTGAGAGCATATTTATTTTACCTGTTGCAACGTACTCGGGTGCTGCATAACCATATGTTCCTATAACCTGTGTTGTTACGTGGGATCTACTAGCTGTTGGACCCATTTTTGCTAGCCCAAAATCTGATATCTTGGCATGGTACGACTGTCAAAAAGAAAGAAAAAAAAAAAAAGGTAGGCCATATTAAAAATTTGGAAGATCACAAGTAGAAATAACAAACAAGTCTAACGGGAACCAGAAATCGCTAACTAAAAATATACGAGTAATTAATACATGAGAGACAAGCATGACGAAAGATTGCAAATCAGAGTTCCAAAATGAATGAATAATGAGTAGAGTAATAAACTAAGAGTGAGGTTCTGGTAGCTTACTCCGTCAAGCAATATGTTTGAGGCCTTGAAGTCTCTATAGATGACGTTTCCATCTGATGCATGAAGGAATGCCAGACCATGAGCTGCTCCAATTAGTATCTTTAGCCTAATATTCCATGGAAGTGGCTGAACAGCAGAACCCCCTAATCAACCAAACTCAACACAATTTACTATACTGCACATCTTTTGTCGAATGTGAATTACAAGTAACATATTTTAAAAATGATCCCTTACTTCCAAAAAGATGGTTCTCTAAGCTGCCCTTTTGCATGAACTCATAGACAAGAAGTAGCTCTTTATCCTCCCAACAATAGCCCAGCAACTTCACCAGATTCTGATGGGAAAGCCTTCCAAGGAAGTTCACCTCAGACTGCACAGATAAATGAACAACCCTTGTGCCATTAGGATTATCTATCACTCTTCCATTCTTAAAAAGTAAATCTTATCTTCTATCTTCTATCTTCTATACGAACGTAAATCCATCCAAAACGAACATACGGATGATGCATACATATGCACATACCAAGACATAAATTTCAATCTGCCACAAATTAGTAACTACATCCAACTATTGCACACACATCCACACGTATACAAGCTGACTAATTCACAAGGAAAAAGTGACTATTGATGGTAGAATAATAGAGATAAATGGATTTGCAGAAAATTGATCATAACAAAAAAATGGAAAAAAAAAAAAAAAAAAGTGAATAGTTGGAAGAGTTGATTGAATAACCTGCCACTCGTCAAATCCCTGCATACTTTCAGAATTCAACTTCTTAACAGCAATGACGGATCCAGAAGTAGAAGATTTGGGATCGAGCCAGCCCTTGTAAACTTTACCAAAACCACCTTCACCAAGCACAGTATCACTTCTGAAATTTCTAGTGGCAGTCTTGAGCTCAGAAAAGGAGAAAACCCTTAAATTGGGGTGGGGTATCATCTGCCCAGACCCAGCAAAATCGGTTCCACTTGCCGCCGAGAATCTACTGTTACCGGAAACTGTACTATTGGTGCCGCTTGACGACGACGACGACGTGTTGGTGGTCGTCTTCTGAGATATTGTAACTGCAAACATGAAAGAAAAGGATCAATTAAGCTTTCTTTAACCCAGCTCTGTATGTGATCTATATATATATATATCAATTAAATTGTTGAAGTTAAAGTGCATAGAGCAGACCTGAAGAAGATGGGGTTTGATCAACAGAGGCAGATGCAGCAGCAGAACTGAAGCAAGTTCCCATAACTGGAAACAGATTAAATATTTGATTGATTGATTGATTGATGATGGTGCAGAAAGAATCGAGGCAGCTATATCATCTAGTGCAGCAGTGGTAAATGGTAATCAAACCAAACAACCATACGATACGAGTGATCCTTAATTAATCACATAGACTAGACGACTTATTTTTCTTTGTTGACTCGATTTTATGATTTTTCTTTATTACTACTCCATATGATAATAAATAATAAAATATATACGAAATCTGGAAATTGCTTGGTTGTGTTGTTTAATGTTTACGGAAATAATTAGATTATTGATTGAGAGAGAGAGAAGGAATTAGTCGTAGTTTTGTGATGAATGCAATGCAGATTGCAGATTGCAGATTGCAGAAGGCGAAATGTGAACAAACACAACAAAGTCAAGTCAAAACAGCGCGTATGTAGAAATTTGAATGCCCTTGTCCTTGTGTGTCTCAGTCTCACTGTCAACTACGGAAATTCATTCTCCTCCATTTTATTATTATTAATTACTCCAATAATAATATCAATATTTTCTTTTTGTTGAGTTACTTTTCCTTTTTTTTAAAACGTCTACTTTGATTCCAATCTTTTAAATGTAATAAGTAAATAAAATTTGATTTTCTTTCGATCAACATCCACAAATGTGAACAACAAGATGAATTCTATTGAAAATATGTCAGTTATTTTGTGATCCATATACTTAAATATAATAAGCATCTAAAAGGGCTTTAGTTTTAGAGCCATGCTCTTGATGAGAAATTAAGTGGAATGTCATAAGTTCGAGATACACTAATTGCAACGAATAATTAAAATTTATACTTGTTAATATTCACTTAACCAGTAAGAATCTACTACATGACCACCTGTATGAGATCAGTGCATCAAGTTACTACTCATCTATCAGATTCCAAGTTGTTGGACAGAATCTGGGCTAACAAGGAACACTCGCTTTTGTGTTTGATACCGGAATACAACAACCCCTTTATATGCTGTTCTTGGGATACCATCCTGGAAAAAATAAAATAAATATACATTAAGGAAATCGAAGAGCAAAAGATTTGTAATCATCAAGCAAAACATCTCTTAAAAGTTCCAAATGACCAATGAAACCTTCCATCACTAGTAATTATTTGCCAAAAGAAAATCGACTACAGGTTCAATTAGTACCTAATACTATTTTGGCCATGTTGATGAAAAGTTTATATGGAAAATGAAAGACAAAAATAACCAGCACCAACAACATTACCTTCCATTCTTCAAAAATACCGAATTGCCTTGCAACGCTTTCAAAATCTGACTGGTCCCGGTACAAAATACGAATATCACCACCTATGTTATTTGTCTTCAAAATAGCATTACTTCCATCAACCGGAGTTGCCTTTCTAAGCAATCCCGCAATATGCTTCACATACTTGTCCTATAAAAGCACAAAGGTCAACAATAGTTCATATACTGGCATCTTTCTCCATTTTTTTCAAGTTACTATTATATGGCATATTGGGACTCTTAATACAGGAACTTACCTGCTCCAGGTAGCTCAGGTCCATTGACTTCCAATCAACCTTGCAGGCAAATCACAAGATACGTCTTTAGACAATGGATAAGCACAAGGAGAGCTTGGAGAACATTGACCAAATTGGTTATATACCTGTACATCGTTCAGCTTGATAGGTTCAAGATATTGTTTGAAGAATTGCCCCATACTGGAACCCTGTGAGAAACAAAGCACCCTTGCTAAAACACGTTTTGGGTAAGAAACAATCCCTAGCACAGCATTATAGTAAAATCACTTCCAAAACATGTAGCTGGTTTACTTTCATAAGATCCAGATTACAGTGGATGGATCAGACAACGGTATATAGAGAACAAACATGGAAAGCCATAGCATAATAATTTTGAAAGAGAAGAAAATGATAATTGCAATACAGTACATCTTTCGGATTGTGCTTTCTGGTAAAGGATTAAGAGGTGAACTTGCGTCTTAATTAAGATGGAATGTTTCGAGGGTTATCATCAAGTGAAAGATAGTCTAATACAGGGAAAACAACATATTCTACTAAGGAAAATACCATGAAGAGCTATTGCATGAGATTTGGAGGTTTACCCAGTGCACCTATATGGTTGGTTGCGGGTCCTTCCAAAAAAAAAAATACCATCAAGAGAGGAACTTAACCAAAATTCCTACCCTCCTTTTCCCATTCATTTCATTAATTTATATATATATATATAACTGGATAACAAGATGATTAGAAATCCTCTATAATTATCTGATGCTGTAATTATTTCTATAAGATAAAGGACCTATGTCCCAGCCATATTAAGTGCTCTCTCTTCGTTACAAACATATTGACACGAAAAATATTTAGCCTGATAATTGAGTTTGAATATTAGTGTATCTAGGCTCTAGCCGCATCTTGTAGTCTACAGTAAAAAGATATCAAAGGATGATAGGTATAAACAGATAAATGAAGTAACTGAATGATGAACCCAGGGTTCAAGTATTGAAAAGCAGAGTCTAGAGATAGTTCAAATATTCTTACGTGCTCCCCAAAATTATAGGTTCTGCACACTTCCGGACGAATAAACTGTCGTCCTCTGTGATTCTCTTTCAGTCTCAGCCAGTCATCCCAATAAGTAATTGATTGGTCAAGAAAAAAAAATGAGATTGCACCAAAAGATACAAAAGGAAAAATAGTTATGTCTTGCGCCAGATGAAATTTTAACAGTTTTAATGTTTAAATATGACTCAGAATATGGTTCTTGAAGGATATGCCTTTGGCCATTTAGGCGATAATTCATCCCATGTTGATCTAGAAAGCATCCATCCAAGACCAGGGAAAAAATCTGACCGGTAAAGCATATCTGCAAGAGATATGAAAACAATACGTAATGAAAGCAGGGAAAAGCTTACCATATTAGTTGTTTACTGGAGCACTACCAGATTAAAGTCAGTAACAATTCTGCATCAATCAACTGCTGAATTAACAAATTTTGAAATCTGGGTGGAGTTAAATGTAATGGAATCTTATTCTGAACAGCATGGTGAAACAGATCAGCATCAAATAGAACATAAACAGCATATATAATCTCAGCCAAAAGAAAGTACAAGAATAAACAACATTTACTTTGATGTGTTGCTGAGATACAAATGAGCAGAGTAAGGAATTCTCTTCATGAAATTCAGAGATGGAAGCATAGCTTGAGCAAAGCAAGATATCTAGAATAATTTAGTGATGGAAAAAAAATCTGGTGAATAGATTTTATTTGCTTCACATACACCGTTTTTGCTTAAGACTACAGGCAACTAGGTAGGTTGCTTGAAGTATGGTTTGTTCCATACCTATGCGCTCTACCTTTTTCCCTTTCAATCTTGAGCAAGTTAAAGGCAAGCAAATAGGAAAGGTTAGACCATGCCTATTTGAAATCTAGATGCTGAACACTGCAATATATCACTGACAGAATTAAAAAATGGAGTTCCACTTCACCTTTTTTTCTCTTTAAATGGCAATCAATTGTCAAGGCTACATCATGCCGATTTTATTTTAGTAAAGAAAATCTACACATCAAATACTGCAATATCGTATTTACATGGTAACTCAGGAGAGAGATAGATAGCAACTAGATCTACGAAAAAAGTAATAGATCCATACTTCCCTTAGAGGCATAGACGATATATATTCAAAGAATATATAGTCATTAGTAACTTTTATCTGAACATAATCAGTTTACTAGATCATCTAAGTAAATAGTAACTTACAAGGATCATCTACGAACTGCCTTTGTCCATTGTCATTCCATGAGGAAATTGCCATAATAGATCTATCACAAGTTACATTCACAAAGGACAAAAGAACATTCAGAAACTGATGTTAAATAGAAATGGAAAAAATAGCAAATCAGATCTTAATGGGGTCTAAACATCTCACTTGTCACGGTCAAGGAGTGCAGCTCCAGCCTCAAAATAGTCAAAGAAATCAGGGGCAATTTCCATGTCATCTGCACAGTGAGATATGCAGTGAGTGAAAGCAAGAGAGAGATAGAGAGAGAGATGAGGAAAGGATGGGAAAGAAGATGAAGTTTACGGGCACCTTCAAGGATGATCACTCGGCTAAATTTATGTTTGTAAAACAATTGATCCAGTGCCCATTTATAATGTCCTGAAAGGCAAGTGTTTGAATAATGTCGGCAAGAATAATGTCTTCCAACATAAAAGATGATTAAGAACAACAAACCAGGTGATCGAAAACTTTACGTGCAATCTTATAGTATGCAATCAACTCCCCAGGTCTTTCTGTATGGACAGGTTCATAATCCAAATGCTGAGCAAATATAACCATCATATCAGATCTTTTATAGTTCATGAGGACAATCATAGCTCTGAAAACTTGAAAACTGGGAAAAAAAATATATATCCAACTGCTGTTCGAATATACTTGTATTAAGCTTGAATTCGATAGGTTTGGTCGAGAATGCCTCAACAATTTAGCTAGCGTGGAACTCGAGCTAGTATGAAAGCTGATACGATTCTTATAATACAGAAGGAAAAGCAAGTACCTGCATGTAGGTCAGCTGATCATAACTCAATCCCTTACTTTTAACATGAGGATCTGATCCATCCTGCCCAAAATGCAAGCAAGATTATTCTACATTTAAATATATGTCGGCGCTCGAAATAAACACTGGTTGTATGAGAAAATCGCTGAACTATCAAACATAAATCTTAATTTTAGGTACCTGTGATATGAAGAGAGGATATCTTGATGCAATAGGAGTTTGATACCTAGTCAGAATGAATGTCAGTCAATAGACTGCTACAACTGAAGCACTAAAATATGCATCAAAGATACACCGTACTTAAGAATAGATTTAACAGTCCTATCGAGATAATCAGCACGGTTACAAGCCATAACCACCACCGCTGCTACTGGAACCTGATCATTCATTCAGTTGCATGGTCAATGATCAAGAGTAAAAAAAACAAACGAGAAAAAAGAAAGAAAAAAAAAACAGCAGAAAAAAGGTGGCATATGGCACACAATATTAAATCCTTAAGATATCCAAACCTGTACATCACCAACCAATTTCTCAACACCCTTCCCTGCAGAGTATCAAAAGAACAAAATTCACAATGAGGCCATATGCAGCAATTGATCATGGACAACAATATAAACAGAAAAACGACTATGGAATTAGAATAGATAAGAAGAGGGGATCAACATGCAACAACCAAATATTGTGCCAGCTAAGTTGAAGTCTTACAAGAAAAGTTATAAAATAATTATGATCTACTTACACAAGAACCATACATAAGCAGTAAAAATTTGAAGAGCCAATAAACGAAACTTAACTTTCAATAGACAAGCTCGATGAGCACTACAGGGAAGAACTTCAAAATCTTTCAGGCAAGGTCAGGACTTACTGGGGATGCCATACAATACAAATGGGTAATCTTAACAATAATTAGCAATGTGTAAGGTCTTCTCAAAGTGACGACTTGAAGAAAGTCGTAATAGCATTCCTTCTGACAAAAACATCCTTAGTCTATATTGGCCTTCCTAAAGTGCAAAAATTGAAAGCACAGACTGAAATTCTGTCAAGTTTCTTAAGCCCTTGTCCCCAATCTCTAGCTGGTTTCTCCTTTCCTCCTCTACTCTATCCATTAAATTAACAATTGTAATACTCGGCTCTCTTAGGGAGCATATCAATTCCAGAAACTTAAATGAATAAAAATCAACATGCGAGTAACATTTAATTTAAAGAAATTTCCTGGAAGATAGAGTAAGAAGCTACATAAACATACTTTCAAGATCTTGAACGAGTGCTCTCAACTGTGCGCATTCCTGATCTTGACGTTTCCTTTCTTCTGCAATTCGGCAGAGTCATAATCGTAACAGACACAACATAATTGTTAAAGAGACTCTGACAAAATGGATGGATACAGCATCTAGTAGTACAATAATAAATTCCCCGACATCATCCAAGATAAAGGGCAGAAAACCAACAATTTTTTTATTTTCATACTTCCAAAACGGCCGTATAGATGAATAAGAAAAAATCCTTCAAATTTCCTGGTTATACTTTCACAAAAGCCTTATGAAACACTTCATATGAAAAGGGGAAACAAGATTCCTACTAATTGTGAGGATATTTAAAATCATCAATTCTGACAGCAGGCTTGCAATGCATTTGTGCAAAGACAGTTTAAATAGATGACTCATCAGAGGTTGAAGTAGAAATGGTAAGACACCTTCAAGAGAAAGAATCCGTCCTTGTTGCATGCTAATCTGATCAATTAACAATCGTGTCTGTCTTATGCAGTGAGTTTCTGCCTCTATCTGCAATCAAACTCACTATGAGGGGGCTTTTATATACTTCCAGGCCGTAAAAGGAGGAAATGAAATCATGAGTAGATGGTAAATCAAAGAACGGGAAGGTTGGTATTCCATGAATGTTTTATGAATATCATTTACGATATCCAACTAATATTTACTAAATAGTGCATGGATATCAAATCAAGGTGTACATACAGCATCAGTAAGCCGGTCAGCATACTGTGATTGAGTAGCAAAGAGGCGGATCTGTGCATAAAAAAATGAGTCAGTTAAATGAATTGCTTGTAACATTTGAAGACTTAGGCATCAACTGGTGTAATAATCTAGCGGAAAATGAAAAGTACACAGGCACATTTCATATTCAAGTTGTAGGTGTTGGGGACGAAAATTAACCCACCAACGAAGTTAGTTTCATCACAACAATTATCCATATTGGGAGCAAAACATTACAACTTTCTGCATCAGTGGCAGGCAGCAATGGGAAAAAATAATTTATAATGAAAGCAAATTAACAAATCATAACAATCCATAATATGCAGGTAAATCCAATAATTTCTAATCGCATCATCAAATAAACCCACTCTTATTGACCTGGATGTAAATGAACGGCAAAACAACGAGGAGAAAAAGGAAGCGGTAGTCGCAAAAGCACTTCCCCATCCTTTCTTCTCTCCTGACGCAGAAAAGAGAAAGATAAAATCAAGAGGAGCTTCCGTTCCGGTTGAAGAAACCAATCGCCACGGTCACAAGTCCACCACCGTCATGTCATGACTTTGAAAATCACTCATGTGTTTGGTTAACTTGGTGGATCCAACTCAAAAATTGAGTTTTGCACCCAAATATGAGTGATTGGCAACTTGCACCCTGAAAGTTTAGTATTGGCAATTTGCACCCTGAAATTTTATTATTGGCAAACTCCACCCTCATTTATATATCTCATGCCAAGTTGCATCTTACATCTAATTTTAAATATTTACTCCCTCAGTTTTTTTTTGAAGTATCTTTTAATGTAGATATACAGTTATTAAATAATCTTGATTTTAGAGAGAAAAATCCTTAACATAATTAGTTTATCTGCTCTTTGTCATCTCATTATTCTATCACAATTATGAGGTAAATTTGGAAAAAATAATTATGTATTCCATATATTTTAAGGAGGTGATTTGCATGTTGTACCCCAAAATACGATAGAGCTTAGCAATTTGCACAATTTTAGAATAGAAACACCCTCAAGCACATATGCACCTGCTAAATTGCACCTTACGTCTATTTTTTCATCAGATTTTAATATAAAAAAAAATCAATATATCACAATATTTTTAAGTTTTGAAACAATTTTCATTCTTTAAGGTACTTTTTATTTCTCTTTTTTTTGTGCTTTTAAATTTTATTTTGCTTTATATACAAGATTGGTTTGTTATGTTAACATAACGAGCTCAAACGGGCTTTTAACGAGCTTAAATTGAAACCAAAATTGGAATCGAACCCTTGAATCGGGTATGGAGCACTTTAATTTGAATTTATGGCCTACCGTCATGAAACCACTTACTCATTACATTTACAATTAATTCGTAGTAGAATTCTTTATTCATCATTTCGTTTCAAATAAGCTTGATAACTCATTAGTTACAGTAATAAAATAAAGTTGTTTAAGATATTAACAAGCATGTCTGGGAATTAATGAAATAACTTTTAACAAATGAAATTTGAGTAGATAAATTTTTATCAAATATATATTTATCTTGTCATTTTCCTTATTTAAGTTCTACAACTCGGATTATTAACTAATTTTCCATAACCACAAGTTAAAAAAAATAGGGTAAATTACAAAAAGGTCCATGATTAGGGCACTTAATTAAAAGAGGGACTTCCAACTTTTTTGTCTTTCAAATAAATCCACCTCATTCAAACTTATCTGCAAATAAGTAAAATCATTTTATATATACCAAAATTACCCCAATTCATTGAAACTCAATTCAACTTCAATTTCATAATTTACACCCCAATTTAGCCCAATTTCATCAATTAACCAATTTTAACCCTAATTTAAATTTTGACTTCAATTTTGACCCGCCACCACCGGAGACCGCCGGTCGCCGCCGTTGACCGCCGGTCTCCGGCGTTTTTTTTTTTTTTTTTTTTCATAATTTTTTTTTTCTTAAAAAAATAATTTAATTATTATTACTGTCTTGGTTGCTAAATTACTATCTCCGACAGTTATTTAACTGTCGGAGACACTAATTTAACTGTTAATTTTATTTTTCTTCAAAAATATTTTAATTAATATTACTGTATTCTTTGCTAAATTACTGTCTCCAGCAATAATTTAACTGTTGGAGACAGTAATTTAACTGTTAATTGATTTTTGTATTCTTAAAAAAAATATTTTTAATTAATATTACTGTATTCGTTGCTAAATTACTGTCTCCAGCAGTTATTTAACTAGCGGAGACAGTAATTTAACTGTTAATTGACTTTTTTATTCTTAAAAAAAATATTTTTAATTAATATTACTGTATTCGTTGCTAAATTACTTTCTCCAGCATTTATTTAACTGTCGGGGACATTAATTTAACTGTTGATTGACTTTTTAAAAAAAAAAAAAAAATTTCTTGAAAAAATTTATTTTAATTAATATTACTGCATTGGCTGCTAAATTACTGTCTCCAACAGTAATTTAACTGTCTTAGACAATAATATTAATAATATTACTGTTCGGGAAAATAATATTCATAATATTACTGTCCCAAACAGTAATATTACAGTATGAGACAGTAATTTAGTAGCCAAGACAGTAATAGTAATTAAAATATTTTTTTCTAAGAAAAATAAAATTGGAAAAAAAAAAAAAAGTCAACGACGGAGACCGACGGTCAACGGTGGTTGACCGGCCGGAAAAAATTTCAGGAAAAAAAAAATTTCAAAAAAAAGTCGACGCCGGAATCTGGACGTAAAAAAAAATCAGAAAAATATTTATTTTCTGAAAAAAAAAATTGGGGGTTAATGTGATATATTTATTTAAATCCGGGGTCAATGTGTAATATTAAGGAAGTTAGAGCATAATGGATGTAATTGATAAGAATTATATTATGGTGGGTATTTTAGACTAAAGACATGTGGATGCGTTTAATTGAGAGACTGTTTTTTTTTGTGGACCTATGTACATTTACGTCGCATGTGATGAACCTTTTTGCCATTCCCTCAAAAAAATAATATTCTTCGGATAAATTATATACATTATTTAATAGGGTTAATCACAAAAAGGCCCATAACAATGGCACTTAATTAAAATAAGGACATCCAACTTTTTTGTCTTTCAAATAAATTCAGCTCATTCAAACTTATTTGCAAATAAGGAATATCCTTTTATACATACCAAAACTACCCCAAATTCATTGAAACCCAATTCAACTCCAATTTCATGATTTACATCCCAATTTAGCCCAATTTCATCAGTTAATCAATTTTAACCCTAATTTCAATTTGACCCCAATTTTGACCCGCCACCACCTGAAACCGCCGGCCTCCAGCGTTGACTTTTTTTTTATAATATTTTTTCTTAAAAAAAATATTTTAATTAATATTACTATCCTGGCTGCTAAATTACTGTCTCCGGTAGTTATTTAACTGCGGGAGACAGTAATTTAACTATTAATTGACTTTTTTTTTTCATCAAAATATGTTAATTAATAATATATTATTGTATTCGTTGCTAAATTACTGTCTCCAGCAGGTATTTAACTATCGGAGACAGTAATTTAACTGTTAATTGACTTTTTTATTCCTTAAAAAACCATTTTTAATTAATATTATTGTCTTGGCTGCTAAATTACTGTCTCCAACAGTAATTTAACTGTCTTAGACAATAATATTAATAATATTACTGTTCGGGAAAATAATATTCATAATATTACTGTCCCAAACAGTAATATTACTGTCTGAGATAGTAATTTAGTAGCCAAGACAGTGATAGAAATTAAAAAAAAAAATTCAAAGAAAAAAAAAATCGAAAAAAAAAGTCAACGCCGAAAACCGGCGGTCAACGGCGGTTGACCAGCCGGAAAAAATTTCAAGAAAAAAAAAGTTTTCAAAAAAAAAAAAGAAATAAAAAAGTCAACGCCGGAATCTGGCCGTAAAAAAAATCAGAAAAAAAATTATTTTCTGAAAAAAAATTATTTTGGGGGTTAATGTGATATATTTGTTTAATCCGGGGTCAATGTGTAATATTAAGGAAGTTAGAACATAATGGATGGAATTGATAAGAATTATATTATGGTGAGTATTTTAGACTAAAGACATGTAGATGGGTTTACTTGAGAGACTTTTTTTTTTGTGGACCTATGTGCATTTAAGTCGCATGTGATGGGCCTTTTTGCCATTCGCCCAGAAAAATAATTTTCTTCGGGTAAATTATATTTGACATTATTTAATATGGTTAATCACAAAAAGGCTCATGACAATGGCACTTAATTAAAAGAGGGACATTCAACTTTTTTGTCTGTCAAATAAATCCAGTTCAGTCAAACTTATTTGCAAATAAGGAAAATCATTTTATATATATCAAAATTACCCCCCCCCCCCCCCCAAATTCATTGAAACTCAATTCAACTCCAATTTCATCATTTGCACCCCAATTTAGCTCAATTTCATCATTTAATCAATTTTAACTCTAATTTCAAATTTGACCCCAATTTTCACCCGCCACCACCGGAGACCGCCAGTCGCCGCCGTTGACCGCCGGTCTCCGACGTTGATTTTTTTTTTTATAATTTTTTTTCTTACAAAAAATATTTTAATTAAAATTACTATCTTGGCTGCTAAATTACTGTCTCCGGCAGTTATTAACTGCGGGAGATAGTAATTGTAACAACAAATTATTATCTGTGATTAACA